CAGCCAGTATGCTTCAGTTTGTTAGTTGCCCAGGTAATAGTTCCAGTTACAGTTCCTGTTACTTTTGTCTCTTAGAAACAACAGGTCACTGTGATGCATATTTTAAGAACCAATCCCCAGGGCTGGGGATATAGCTCAGCGGCATAAGCACCTGCCTGGCAAGTGCAAGGTCGTGAGTTCAATCCCCTGTACTGCCAAAAACAAGAAAACAAAAAACAAACAGAAAAAACCAACCCCAATTGACAAGCCATTCTGCCTCTGCACTTCCTGTTTGTTTATCTCATATAATCTTCAGACCACCAGAGATCTGGGCCTGATATTTTGGGAATGATCCTGATCAGTGCCAGTTGATATAAAATCAATCTGCCTGCAAATCCTGGGTGTCATTTCACTGTTTCTGCTTGACATAGCATAAGTACCTAAGTCTCCTGGGCTGGGATGGGCTGGAACTTGGAGATTCTATTCCTTAGCTTCCCAGACTGCTGGGATTTCAGACTTGGGCTACCTCACCAGGCTATAAAAATAAATACATCAGTTAAACAGCTGATGTTGGTCCCTAATTTTCCATTCCCTGAATAAAGTGTTCTGTGACGTCCTTGAAAGAAACCCTAAAATGCTCAGGGCTCATCAGTGTTTAAATTCCACCTCCTCCACAACAATTTTCAAACCAATTTTAACAGCAAAGTTAAACGGCAGTGTAAATGGCAGGGTAATGTGTGTGAATGCGTGTTGCTTCCCCACGTGCAACATTTCTTGGCCCTTCTGGAGCTAAATGTATTTGTGTTGTCACACTGATCCTACTTAGTTTCCCCGTACAAGGAGAGAGAGAAGAGTGCGGCTGGATTTCTGCCCCCTCGGCTTACTAGACATGAACACAACGCTGGGCAAAGCGCCTGCCCAGAGCTCAGCCCCAGCCCTCAATGCGCGCATCTGTGGATCTGCATCCCACCCGCCGCTTCCCGGCAGGGCCGCGGGGAGCGCCAGCCCCGGACGCCCAGGAAGCCCCCGCCTCCCCAGCTGGTTCCTGGCTCCCCTGGAGAGAGCTGCCGCCGCCCACGGCTCCCGCCTGCTGCCAGCGCCAGCTTCCTGCCCCAGCCGGGCCGAAGCTGCGTCCGCGGTCGCGGGGGACAGACGGCTGCGCAGGGGTCCGGCCGAGACCGAGCCCGGGGGCTCTGGGGTCCCGCAGCGCGCCCAGCGCAGCCGGCCTTCAGGGACGTTTGGAGGGAGCCGGAGTGTTAGGGAAAATCGGGTGCCAGACTTCCTCGGAAGGCGAGCCAGGCGGGCCCTAGAGAAGAAGGCAAAGCCAGTTCGTTCCTTTATTTGGTCAGCCTGGCCCTGGCCCGGAGAAACTGTTACAACAGTGTTGCAGAAGTTTGTACAGAGTTTGTCGGGGAGCTCAAACAGTGACTCAAAGAGGACAGGTTTGTAACTTTGGCCTCGCGCTCAGCCTCGGTCCGCGCGGGCGTCAAACCCAGGACGGGACAGCGGTGGGCGCTGCTCGGCTCCGCTGTCACCGCAAAGCATCACCGCGGGGCCGGGCGCGGGGAGGCGGCGGCGGGAGTGCGCGATCGGAGCTGGCGGAGCACCGCCTTTGAAAATCGACCTTTTTTTTTCCTTCAAGACTTTCAAAATTACCTGAGAAGGCTATTACAGTTCTGCTTTTTCTAACTGCCTACCTGTGCGAGGCTGGAATTTCTCCGAGTGCTGCAGCCCCAGCACTGGGCTGTAAGGATGGAAGGCAGAAAGAGGCTCTGGCCGTCTCCCACTGAGCCAGAAGTGAGAGACTTGCAGATATTTGAAACGAGGCCATTCTTCTTACCAAAAATACATCAGTTAAACAAAACCAAAATGTTTTTGTTTCAAGAAATATATATTCATAAGATACGATAAGTCAATAATGAGTTTATTCCTATATTTAGATTAATAAATGGTTCTAAAGTTTCAGTTTTAATTTATTTTAATTTTTTTTCTTTGGGCTGAGTTATATCTCCAGCTTACTATCATTACTACTGTTATTGTTATTATTTTATTTTGAGACAGGGTCTCACTAAGTCCCTGAGTTGCCTAGGGTGGGATTAAACCTGTGATCTTCCTGCCTCAGCCTACCAGAGTTATGGAGTTGCAAGTGTGTGCCACCATGCCCGGCCTGGTTTAATTTCTAATGTGGTAAATGTTGACAGAAATAACCTATGGAAACAAATCTTTTTTGATCTAATAATTTTTTTAAGGCAAAAACAAGTCCTGACATCAAAAAGCTTGGGAAATATCAGAATAGAACAAAATTTTAAAAAATGGCTCAGAAAGGATTTTTTTCCCTCTTGTTCTCCAGCTCACACCCTCTATTTCCACGCCACCTACCAGCCAATGTGCTGTGATGGCTTACACTAAAAAGCTTTTATATAGCATGACACTAGGGGCATTTATTATTCTTCTGATTAGAGAAACCTTAATTACTATAAAAACAGATTCGTAAGTTTAATGTAAGATGTTCAAAATACAACAAAGGTTATTTCTTGTTTACTTAACAATGCAAATAGTACTTCACATGATGATTCAGGAATCCAGGGTCTTTTGAAAATGGTTTTCCATTCCTTGTTGCTTTGTTATCTGTGTCCAGTTGGCAGGAAGTCTACAGGTACACTCGCTTTTTTAAACCTTTGCCTTGAAAGTGGCGTATATTATTTCTGCTCACATTTCATTGGTGAGAATGAGCACACCGGTTAGTAGCCGTGTCTTAGTTATGGAAAGAAAAAAATGGGTTTTGGTGAGTGTCTGTCTAGCGCTGTGGATAATACATTCATATTTGGTATGCATTTTGGCTCTATTATTAACATCTATGTGGCCTTGGCTATGTTATTAAATTCTGGGATTTTTCTTCTTTATTGTAAAATTCTTAAGTGTAGTGTTCTTATCTGTCTTATTTTCTACTATAGGCTTAATTCTACACAGCAGTGAAAAAGGTATATAAAAGCTCCATTTTCATGTCAAATGGCACTTCCGTGTTTCTTGAGATCTGAGTCAAACTTGATTCAGCCATTCAAATTTCATAGCCTGTTAAAGAATTCCAAGAATTACTGGGAGAATGACAGCGTCATGATCTCACCTTCTTTCCAGACTCATGTTCCTATTTGTGTTGCCTCTGTATGCACCATATTGCCGTGGAAGTTAAATCCGGCCATTTCATACATCTTCACAAATGTTCAACAGGCTACAAACTCACTCAGATCAAGGACTTATGGGGAGTAGAGACTTCCCTGAAGGTTTTGGAAGGGTCATAATGTCCATTGCAGAGCAAGAAGTATTTATTTATATTGTATTTATATCCACCCTTTTTACTTTCAAAATCCTCTTTCTACTCATTATCTATCTATCTATCTATCTGTCTGTCTATCTTTTTTTTTTTTTTT